TTTTAAAAGTTTAATCTGAATAATAAATTGTATAACTACATGTATAAAGTTTTTTGTTTATGAATTTTGTTTTGTTAAGAACTTTACTGATCTATAATTGTTTTATTATTTAAACTTTAAAAGTTTATCATATTTAAAATATTTTGTAGTTTTTTACTATAAACTTCTTCTTCTATTATTATTATTATTATTAATAATGACTGATACCAGACAACCGGCACAGCCAAACTGTCCCAGTGTGTAATCAACTGTTGCTAAATAAAAATTCAATCAGAAGATTTGTGGCCAATCGGCCTTTGTCTGAATGTAGTCACCTGGTTTTGCTCCTGACACTGTGAACAGTGTTGGACTAAATTTACCGTTTACCTCTGCTGCCGTGTAGCAAAGGTGGAAATGTCAGATTCATTCCTAAAACTTGCACAATTACAAAGAAATCTATCCGCACAGCTGAATAACACTAGCGACAAGTGAGAAAAAGAATTTTGTTAATGTGATTGAGCAGACCCTTTAAACCAGAACACAAAGAGGCTCACACACAAATGGATGGATGGACAGATTCACAGACACCACAACGTCATGATGTGGACCTGTGCAGGCAGCGCCGGGGGCTCTCGGGACCGTCATGCAAGGATCCCGACCTGAACGCCCTCTGTGATGCTTTCAGCCATGCAGGCTCCACCTCAGTATGCACTCAAAACATCACTGCTAACTAGATCACGCCAACATCAGCTCTGCTACTCTAGAAGCACAGACAGGTTTGGTGTTCTGTGGATTTTATGGTTTGGGAAACACCAGTGTTTTAACACTGGCAAGCAGCAGCTTCACATGCAGACCCCCAGCAGCTGTTTTGAGTGGACAAAGAGACGGACAGCTTCCCCAGCCAAACAACATCAAGAATCCCAGGACGGCCTCTCCATGACTGGCTGCTCTGAAGCTAATCATGGCCCAGCCCTGCCTCCAACCCAAACCCCACCCTGAGTGAAATGACAACAGCTGTCCAGACGGGTGGGGAGAGACAGAGAGGAAACACGGGCAGGTGGGCAGCCCAGACAAAAAACAGGAAGTGATGTAAAGGCAAGGTGGGTGGGTGGGTGTGGGTGGGGGATACTCGTCATTTACAGGAAGAACATACCAAGTCTAGTACAGAGATAGCTGGGACAGCAGTCTGCTGCTGAGGAAGAAGAGAATAGAGAGTGAGAGAAGGAGGGGAGATAAGAGAGGAAGGAAAATACCCAAATACTGAAGAGGAAGGTATGGAGGAGCTACAAATAAACCAGCAAAAAGGAGGGAGGGGAAGAAGAAACTGAGGAGTAAAATCAGAATAAGGGAGGGGAGGACAAACAGTAAAGTGAAAACATTGCTGAGGTTTGTTTTCTGCGCCTTCATATATCCTCACATGCAGCCACTGCACCATTGAACCACGTTTCACATCGATCTCACTCTTCATTTTAAAGCTCGGAACGAATACATGTTCTTTCTATTTAGAGAAAAAAAGCTGGTTAAATTTGGGAATAAAGATCTAATTACAACTTGTGCACAAAAATGATATGCACAGTAAATATTCTGTAGTTTTAGTAATTCTACTCATTACTTCAAGTGGCTCTAGCATCTCTTTGTTTCCACAACTTTTAACATCAGTTTTTGTTTATCCAAATTAAGGGTCAGGAACCTGTTCCACCTGGGTACAGTAAAAACTAAAGCAGCTGATGTCTTTCATTAAGAAGTCTAAATCTGCACTTAATCAAAGGACCAAAACCAATTAACCCACTGTGAAGGTGGGGCTTCTGAATACCTGGGATCGTGGCGGCAGTTGCCTGCTTTGATTGGGTCCTGGATCTGGGACAAATTTGGAATTTTAGTCTGTATAAACCAACTTGACCTTCTCCTCTGTGACTCAACTGTTTAATGTAAACTATGCTCAGCGTGCACTTACACCCAGAAGCAGGGTGAAGCATTAGATTAGATTAAACAATTTCATTACAAAAAACATCCAGGCATCGCGTTGTAGAAACTGGTAAAAGTGATACGATTTAATCATTCTAGACCACCAACATCAACAGACGTACAACCACCCGCTCGGATTCAACACCTTCCAGCCCACCACCTCCGCCCACATCCAGCCACCCTATTACACATCTCTGACAGAAAAGTTAGGACATCTGGTTATTTTAGTGCTAGAATAAAATGATGTAGATGCTCCAGGCACTATATGCCTCAGAGAATATTAATCAATGAGACATATCCAACTCTATGCTGGCAACAAATAATCAAGTCATCAATATCGGGATAAGTCGGGATGCTGAGAACCTGACTGAAATGAGACCAGTGACATTGTTATGCAACACGGCACTTATGCTGCATTTGCATTATATGGGAAAATTGACAACAAAAAAAAATAACTTGTATTTTTATTGCACTTTAAATCAATTTAATCATACTGCTGTACTAGAGACAAAATCTCATATGAACACGCTTCAGGAAACCCCAATCATGACATCTGCTCTATTTCCACACAGTAATTTCCATATGATGTGAATGCAGCATTAACAGCACCCTCGCCTGCCTGCCCGAGCCCTCCCGTCCACCCCTCCCAGCCAATCAGATTTAAGCAGCTCAGCATGGCAAAGCGATGACAGAAGCATGTTGCAGATGCACATTGCAGGACATTCATAGAGGGGAGTGCTGCCACAGAGGAATCTGTGTCCCCTCCTAGCATTTGAAAGGTGATTCTGTTTTTCCCCATCAGCCCTTCCTTGTGCACTGAACTACAGATCTGGATGTTAAAGCTGTGAGCTGATGAGAATTACCACTTAAAAAACAGAACACCTTTTTTCTGCCAAACCACCCTTTACATACAATTTCCTGGACTTCCCACGTTCTTTAATTCCTTCAGCCTTTCCTGTCAGTTTCATGTACTCTCTCTCCCACACTCCTCTTTTTGTGGCTTCTTTCTTCTGTTCATCCTAATGTCTTTCCTCCACCCTTACCACCTCTCAAATCCATTCCCCGCCCTCCACCACCACCACCTGTCTCACCCTGGCTCTCTTCTCGGCCTCCAGCCTCTGCATGATCATCATGGTGTCCACGTCCTCGTCATCCTCCTCCTCCTCATCTTCGTCACTCTGCTTGGACTCCTGCAGTCGTTTCTGGAACTGCCACTCCAGCATCAGCTTCCTGAGGCGGTCGCTTTCCTCTGCAGTTCGCTCCGGCTTTGCCTGGACAAGGTACGTTCACAGCTCAGCTCTTAAACCTGGTTGATGTGCTGTTCTAATCAGTGCCCCTTTGGTAGGAATTTGTATTTTAAAGGTGGATAGACAGCAAGATATTTTACTCATACAGCACAGCAGCATCACGAGTTCCATTACATACTTCCAATTAGGGCTGTAACCAGCATTTCATCATTTATTCAATTATTAGATTCAATATTTTTATAATGAAAATAGTAAAAATGCCCATGACAGTTTGCCAGAGCTCAAGGAGACATCTTCAAATGTCTTGTTTTGTTTGCTGTGCAATCAAAAACCCAAAGATATTCAATTTACAAAGACATAAAACAACGGATAAGTTCAAAACAGCCACAACGAAGAAGCTGGTACTGGAAAATGATTTGTTTTTTGTTGCTTGACTTGAAAATTATTTTTTTGTCGGTCATACCAAGTAATTGGTTAATCAGTTAGCTCTATTTTTAAACTTTAGTGAATCTCAAACTTCTCCATGCAGCAGACAACTGCTGATCAAAAAGTGGTGTTCACCTTTGAGCTTATTGGTTTTCTTAACCCAGAACTGGATAAAACCATTGACTGAGCAGTAAGTATGAAGCTATAGCCAGCAGCTGGTTAGCTTAGCTTAGCACAAAGACTGGAAACGAGGGGAAACAGCTAGCCTGGCTCTGTCCAAAGGTATCAAATCCAACATACAACACCTTCATAAAACCACAACAGTTGTTGACTGATTAAACAAACAAGATAAAGGATGTTAATTAACAAGCGGTAAACATCAGCGTCACCGAACCTCAAGTATTAGTGTTACAAGCACAGTGTGTAAGAATACACTCACTGGTGTAGAGGTAAACGGGGACTTCAGCGAGTTGACTGTGGGCAAAGCGCAGAAGATGCCACTTTTCTGCATCTCTGTGTTCTGCTTGTTTAACAGCTGTTTGAATAACTGCTCATACCCTTTTCCACTAGTGGCAGAATGTGGTGCACACATGATTAACAAGCATTAACGACACGCTCTGCTCAGCTGTGTGTGTGAGGAGCGCAGACCTGCCCTCACGTACACAGTGATGACACAGAGAAAAAAAGCAGTGAAAAAGCAAAGCACAATGCTCCACAGCCCTACAAGTTCCACCAGGTTACAGCTTGTCAAGTTCCTGTGGTGGGGATCTAATATCAGACACGAGTCAATCGATCTCTTGGCAAGAAAGTGAATACATGTGACCAAAACATTGAGCGCCAACATGTTTTAATTTGTGCCTACCTGGAGGTCCTGGATCTCCTTGTCCAGCAGGTCCACGATGTGAAGCTGCTGCTGTTTCTCTGCTTTCTCCCGGGCATCTCTCTTCCAGGGGTCTGGAGACAGACTGTCGCTGGACGACAGCTCCTCCTTACTGATGGTGATGTACTGCAAGTCTCGTCTCTCGATGGTGCGCGGCTGCTGCTGAGGTAGGAGCTCTCTGATCACAGTGTCCATGCCTACAGTTACATTTTATTTATTAGCAAAGTCAGGATACTGTTTGCACATTCAGACAGTTTGAAGTCTCTGGTTTTGAGTTTTAATATTGAGTATACAGTGCCTTGCGAAAGTATTCGGCCCCCTTGAACTTTGCGACCTTTTGCCACATTTCAGGCTTCAAACATAAAGATATAAAACTGTAATTTTTTGTGAAGAATCAACAACAAGTGGGACACAATCATGAAGTGGAACGAAATTTATTGGATATTTCAAACTTTTTTAACAAATAAAAAAACTGAAAAATTGGGCGTGCAAAATTATTCAACCCCCTTAAGTTAATACGTTGTAGCGCCACCTTTTGCTGCGATTACAGCTGTAAGTCACTTGGGGTATGTCTCTATCAGTTTTGCACATCGAGAGACTGAAATTTTTGCCCATGCCTCCTTGCAAAACAGCTCGAGCTCAGTGAGGTTGGATGGAGAGCGTTTGTGAACAGCAGTTGTCAGTTCTTTCCACAGATTCTCGATTGGATTCAGGTCTGGACTTTGACTTGGCCATTCTAACACCTGGATATGTTTATTTGTATTTATTAGTCATTTAGGTCAACATTGGATCATTCAGAGATCCTCACTGAACTTCTGGAGAGAGTTTGCTGCACTGAAAGTAAAGGGGCTGAATAATTTTGCACGCCCAATTTTTCAGTTTTTTATTTGTTAAAAGAGTTTGAAATATCCAATAAATTTCGTTCCACTTCATGATTGTGTCCCACTTGTTGTTGATTCTTCACAAAAAAATTACAGTTTTATATCTTTATGTTGTAAGCCTGAAATGTGGCAAAAGGTCGCAAAGTTCAAGGGGGCCGAATACTTTCGCAAGGCACTGTAATTCTTCCGTGTGTCTAATATTATGGATAGTGTTATGCATTTAACCAGATGCAACATTGCCGCTATAGGCTCCTCACTTTAAATTAAACTAAAAAAAAAACA